TTGAATAATCGGCATTCTCTCCCTCAATAAAATTGTCGACAAAATATGCCGTTCTTCGTGCGGGGAAAACTTCACCGCGGAGGAACGCCGTGACGGTCTAATTAGAAACTCGAATAATTTATGAGTGGCGCGTCGTCCTATTCAATTAAGAACGCTGAAAATACATCTTTGACGGTATTCTGGGGCCTCGTTTGCTACGCTAGACTACCGAACCGAGTAAACAGGGCGTCGCTGCTTCTAGATTATCCGCAGGATTGACACTACTATGTACTCAAGTCTTTCACACAAACACTTGCTCGACGCTCTCATTCACTTCTATTTCTAGAACGAAAAATCGAGGATAAGGAGAATACTACGAGAGTACATATATTCAGTATCGTATATCGCATCAACGATATTCAGGAAGCTGAATATGATCCACCTTCCATAAAAAAATATCCGTTCTAGAAATTAATTTTCGTTATATCGTTCAATGATTTTACTGTTTAAAATTAATATATTTTTTTTGTAAAGGTAATTGGTGTAATTTATGTAACAAAAAGTTAATGGTTTAAACAAAAATTTTTAATTCTTAAAAAAATTCTTAAAAAAATTCTTTGTTTTTTAACAATAATAAGATTGAAAGACCGCTAATGTTAAACATAATAATTTTAAATTAAGAAGCGCCATAACGGTCAGAACGTTAAGATGTTGAACTATTGTAAATTCATTTAAATGAATTAATTTCAGAAATGATAATTGCGTGCCGATATGGTTGTCGGACTTTCAACGCAATCAAATCTGAAAATATTAATAATCCCCCCAAATTCCCCAACTTAAAAACTGTAATAAAACTTATTGCGAAAAATAATGCCTCGGCCGGGAGTCGAACCCGGATCTCTTGCATTCCGTGCGAGCGTCCTAAGCCTTTAGACTACCGAGACTTCTTTGTTTTTTAATTAATTCATAATAATTTTTTTTATGTATAACATACATTTGTTATATATACAATAAAATATATTTTATTATATAATAGATTTATTAATTTTTAAATTATACATATAAATATTTGATACTTTATATAAAATTTAATTTTATTATTTTCTTAAAATTCATGATTTCAAAAAATTGGACTATAGTTATTACTTTCAAAATAAATAGAGTTTATTTTTATTCTAAGCTATTCATTGGAATGTTTACTAGAATTTTTATAAATGAAAGATTTGTAGATGACAATTACTGGTTACGAATAATTTTGTATATCAAGTTTTGTAATTATTGATTGACATCTAAAGTTCATATAAATATACAGGTTATCTACAAATGTGCAAGTTCAGTGACGCCTTATCGTGGAAGAATCATCATATTTCTTAGATATAAAACTGCAAGTGTTGCACTTATGTGTCAGAATATGTAGATTTGAATGAGCATGAATGCGATACGTTCATCTTCTCGGAATACTGCTCAGCATAAATTATTCATTTAGAGTTGGAATGAGCTAACTAACAGAATTATCTTCTACGCTAAAATCTTCTACGCGTTTCATTGTCGAGTAATATGCGCGTCAATAATGTGTTAAGATGCGAAGAAAATAAATCGTTGAATTATTTTGATATTTGGATGAGCCGACTCAATTCTTTAGTAATTTATTAAAATTAATTTATCGTTTTTTCATTCACATTAATTAATATATTAATTTTTAAAACGCATTATTTCTTTTAAGTCGCCTCTCAAACAATAAAAATGCACAAAACTTTTCGAAAATTTATCTACACGATGAAACGATATCTAGCTTCTCTAAGGGTTCAGATTCTCACCCGAGTACCCCAAGTATCATTTTATCCTCAACATTCGGTTTAACTTTCGGTAAATCACAAAGATAAAACGATACTTGGGTACGACACTCAGGTGGGGATCTGAATATAGCCGAGGATTCCGTGTTAACGGTCACGTGGTTTCTCTACGCGTTACTCTACGCACACCGTTCGTAAACAAGAGGGACGCACAATGGCGGCGAGAGTAGAGCAAACCAACCCCGTTACCGAGCTGTCGCTTCTTGTCTTATCTTCACACATGTTGAAGCATTTCACACACTCGTCCTGCGTTTCACAGATATGCTATCCGTAATCCATCGAAATGCATTTCTCACGATGAATATTACGAAACACGGTGATAAATGAAGACCGTATACTTTGCGCGAGGAGAGAGAGAGAAGTGGAAATTATTCTTTAGACTTTGGATATAGATTCGATCCCTACGTCTTTCGAAAATTATGCGCATTAAATGATATACGGCAAAATAAAATAATATGAAAATTTATAACAAAATGCGTTTGATGATATTTAATATCAGTTGTTTATACTCTGAGAAATACAAAAAAAATTCATAAAGTTAAACTAATAAACCAACTAAAAAGTAACATAACATCAATGTTATAATTTTACACCTAACGATGTAACTGTTAATTATAACATTGATGTTGTTACTGTCAATTGATATTTACTGGAAATTAGATATCGAAGTTATAACGTCTAAAGCTATAATGCACAATTCTCAAGAGAAAAACTTATTTTCGTATCGCAATTTACAAACAAAACATTTCGATACTTTCATTTACAGATCACATTCTTTTTCACTGCAGGAAATCTGTCGGATTATATCCATGCGTTGAAGTTCTTATTATCCATGATTTAGCATTCAAATCGTGACTATTAGACAAGAGTCTACGAACAACCCGATCGTTTTTGACATTGTGGAATCTTCGTTCATCAGCGAGATCAACAAGAAAGTCCATTTAAATCTCTGTGACTCTCACGCGTGATTTTTCATTGGAGTCCCGTGGAGAAGCGATTGGCGAACATTCGCCACGAATCAGCTCGTCCAATCGTTGCGCGAATTTTGGTGCCGGTGGCTTCACACGCGAGATAGGTACACTGTGGGATCCCCCGCGTTGGCCGCCAACGCAAAGAGAAGAAAACTACCGAAACCGGCCGCTCATATTTCACCGTGAGCTCTCCTTTCGAGAGGTAATGGGAAGCACGACTTGTCTTTCTCTTTTTTTTTCTTACTCTTTCTTTCTTCCTCTTGAAAGTCCGGCGTCTTTCACGTTCCAGCAACCCCAAATCCCGCATTCCGCACTTACCTACCTACCGACGCTGAGGTGCTGACCTCCTGCGAGAGGAGCGAAACAGCGGAAACCCGTGACGCTGCGCTCCACAGAAAGCGACGAAGAAGAAGAGGATGAAGATGAAGATGATGATGAAGTCGGTGAAGATGACGAGTGCACGCAAAAGCAAGAGAACGACAAGAGTCGGACGGACGGATAAATGGACGCCGCGCGCGAGAGATACAATAGACAATACAACCGAAACTGTATGCACGGCCCAGGCGCACGCCGGAAATGGTATTAACGAATGCCCCGGCGTACGCACTCGCTCGTAAGCACTCGCGCGAGACACAACGGGGTTATGAGCTGCACACAGGAGGCGACGACACGTCACGCGCACACCAGCCCGTTCGCCACTCACAACCACGGCCGCCGCGCGGCCGACGAATCGTCAGGCTGTATCCGGCGTTGAGGCGGCATGAGATCCGACACAGGCCGTGCTGTGGGTCAGGCTGTAGAGAACAACCGAGTCTCGCCACGCCGGTCTCAACGGATCCGATCAGTTGACGGCAGGCCCTCGAGCGGGTTGGCCGGTTTCCGAAGGGATTGTTCGCGGCTCTTTCTCTATGCAGTGCCCCCCCCTCTCTCTCTCTCTCTCTCTCTCTCTCTCTTTCTACCGCTGCCGTCCTATTTTCCAGCTCAAGCCACGATCGGATTACCGGAGAGTAAGCGCACTCCATTGCTCCAAAAAACAGGGGAAGGAAAGAGGGGATAACTGCGAAGATAACTCGAAACTTTGAAGCTTTGAACTTACTTGCATTTAGAGTGGATACGGTTTTATGTTGGTACCTCAATCCTAAGTTAGTTCTAATCAAATTGAATAAAATATTCCGTAAGTGCTGTACTCTTCGTTGAATGATCGTATACAGACTGTCATATTTTGCACTGTTGAGATATTTATCTAATTGTAAGTTTTTACAAAGTTTATTATTAATATATTAGAAAGTGGAAAATATCGAATCTTCTTTGGATTATACATATATCTCAATTTAAATGACCGAAGAGCGTAATTTAATATCAGGATAAGTGTATTTAAATGTTGCAGATTTCTGTACCCTTGAATTACACAAGGAGAATTGTGTTGACACATGATGCTATTTATAGATACACGTCTTTCGCGAGCGAACGTGGACTCGTGTAATCAATAGAGATGATATTTTCAATCTTTCGCGATTAATGAATTATAGGCACCAAATCTAATCGGTAATTTGTAATTGTCGTTACGTGTTCGTTACGTCAATAATTTTACAAATAACACACTGACGCGTAAGAAACTGATTGAAGCCTGCGCATGATCGATCCGTGGTCTATTTAATTTGCTAAACACTAATGTCACTACATACTATATGTTATATATGTATATTATATGAAGTAGGTATAAATATATATACATATATATAAACAATAAAACTATATAAGCAACAAAATTATATATATTATGTATGTATAATTATATATATATATGTGTGTGTGTATATGTGTGTGTATTAAAATAATATATAACAGCAATAAAAACTATTATCATTTATGTGTGTGTGTGTGTGTGTGATTTATCTACCAGAATTTATGTGTAAAAATATTTACATCAGAAGAAATTAATAAATTTTCTTTCGTTTTATTTTTGAAAAAGAATATTTTAAATCTCATATATATGTTTGGAGCTTATTTAATATTAATAATTTTAGGAAAATATTTGTTTTTAAATATATTCTTCTTTTTCGTTAATATTGCATTCTTTTCTTACATTATGTTCCAATCGAAATAAGTAAAAAAACTGACAGAAGGGAGAGAAAGAGAAAACAAACTCATAATACTGAAGAGCAAACAGAGTCGATATTCGCCCGTATATACTTACATATTTATGGCCGCAGTAAGTGATCCCTAAAGCGGACGGCGCGTCGTTTAAATAGGCTTTACAAGCGGCGAAGAACGTGTAATTTTTCGTCATCTCGCGGAACCCTAGTTTGGGAGGCGCTGGCTGGGAGAGAAAGGGAGGCACGCCGCTGTTTCGAAGACCCAGGGTCTCGTGAATCGTGTTTCGGAAGGACGAGACGCGCGCCAGAGCCGATGTATACGGTGGCTCGTTCGTGTTACTGAATGACCGCGCACGCGATACGCCATGGATTTATATGAACGGAGGAAGATTACAATTTCCCAGAGATACGTGGAAACGCATGACGTTTTGATGTGCAGTAGTATCTGTCTACGGTAAAGGAATGTGATTCATGACGTTCAATGAGCTATCCCGGAGTAACACGTCACTCGATTGAAGTTTAAAGTATTAGTCGGGGGCGATTCTTGGACGGTGTCCAAGAGTATTGAATGATGTCGGATTCTCTTCTGGGAAAACGCAACTTTACGATCGCGGAAATGCAGATTACAAACGTTCCGGAAAGCGAACCATTTGTCAAATCTATCGATTATTCTCAGTATTATTTCTTCTACCGTGAGAATTTGAAAATTATATGTATATTAATAAATGAAGTGTGCAATATGTTTTGATGAAAATGAAATTAACATTAAGAAATACGTATGCAATATCTCAGAATATACAGGGTGTCTGATAATAAGTGTAATACTACTTATGAAATGAGTTGAACTGAATAAAAAACATCCTGTACTATTTGATGATTCTTGTAATTAATTAATAAATATCTGCGAATGAACTTACATCCGTGCGATTCAGCAACAAAAGACATAAAAAATGTTAATCTACATTTTAAAATGGTCTCATCTGTGCAACGTTATTGTAATAAAAATGAGTAGGCGTTATGCATCGTTTTCTGCGTTGACTCCTAACGCCTACATGTTTTTATTATTGGTTTTCAAACTTCGGGAGTCTTTACTAGGTGCGTTCGACATTGCAAATCGGAGGCATCCGTTTGCTCTTTCACCTCGCAAATCGTTCGGCAACTCGTATCTTTCTGCTACATGTCATCTCATTTGCGTTCGGTATTAACATTTCTAGAGCTAATCGAGCTCCTCAATCCACTCTGGATTCAAAGATCGAGCTCGTAGAGCTAATGCAAGTTTTCGCGCCTAAATTAAATTCATAATCTTTTTAGAGGTCCTGGTCGGCGCGCGCGTTCGCCAAGCTTCGCCCGAATCTCTTCCACGCAGTTGAAATGGGTTACTCGTAAGTAACGCTACAAATTCTCTGCATTAAAAATAAATACTCTGCTAAAACAGTGAATTTGTGTTTTTAAAACAGTGAACCACTGCTGTGACAGATTTCCTAACCTGAATAGTTGTCGACTTTAATGATTGATATCTCAATTCTCAGGGCAGAGCGACACTTTTTTCTTGTCAAATCTTTATTTTTACGCGAAAACGCACCGATTGAGTGCATTTTTATCAAAATTTGAGGCGGCCGGGATCTTCTAAACATTGCTACCTATAATCTTAAATGACGTTAAATGACAGCTCTGTATCGTTCGGACACGTTCGGAATTAATTTTTGGTACTCGGTTTGCTCGAAGATCACGTGATCAAGCTCACCATCTGCTAGCTCGCATCTCAGATTTACATTACCGAACGCACCTACTGTGATTAAGTTATTATATAAGTTAGTAACTCTTTGACAATCAACAACTTGATTCTTTCCGCAAGTTCCATTCAGAAAATAGAGTACTTTCCCATCATAATGCGACGCCGCCCGATTATTGATGAATACAGAGAACGATTACTATCGCGGGGATTTATATGTACGTTTATTCATTCTAGGATCATGAATATCTCGTAATTGTCATTGTTCCGCGAATGATGGTAAAGTTCTGTCGAGTATATGCAAATATTAGCATTTAGTCTGAAGACATGCACAGGTAATGTGAAACGCTTTACGTTTGCCAATGATTGAAAAATATCATGAATCTTTAAAGTATTGTCTAATGTATTATTGTTTTCTGAGTCATGCCTTATATGTATAATGAATAATTTACAGTAAATAATTTGCGAGATAGACTTTGTATTAGTTGAAGCTATACATTATGAAGTACACTGCGCGGTTATGAGTTGTCTAAATAAAATTTTGTCTAAATGAGGTTATAATAATAACGAACATTTCATTTCGATGTTACTTTTCAACCTGCCACATAGGAGTAAGTGAGAGTCGCTCGTTCATTATAGTCATTGTTTATTATAGTCACTCGATCATTATAGTCACTAGTTCATTTTATATTCCATCGCGACATTAAGAGGATCCTAAAGCCGTCTGTATTATTGACTAAATCGTAATTTTTGTATAACAAATACTTTTTTCCTCTTTCACAGATTCTCTCTCTCTCTCTCTCTCTCTCTCTCTCTCTCTCTCTCTCTCTCTCTCTCTCTCTCTCTCTCTCTCTCTCTCTCTCTCTCTCTCTCTCTCAAAAATCCTTTTCCAGGATTAAAGTATACACATTAATACGTGTTTGTGAGGTGGAGTTTATACCGAAAACGATAAAAAATTTTTCTTAAGAGGGGGGGGGATCCTAAAGCCGTTTGTATTACCGACTAAATCGTAATTTTTGTATAACAAATACTTTTTTCCTCTTTCACAGATTCTCTCTCTCTCTCTCTCTCTCTCTCTCTCTCTCTCTCTCTCTCTCAAAAATCCTTTTCCAGGATTAAAGTATACACATTAATACGTGTTTGTGAGGTGGAGTTTATACCGAAAACGATAAAAAATTTCGAAATTGAAATCTTAAGAAAAATTTTTTGTCGTTCTCGGCATAAACTCCACTTCACAAACACGTATTAATGTGTATACTTTAATTCTGGAAAAAGATTTTTGAGAGAGAGAGAGAGAGAGAGAGAGAGAGAGAGAATCTGTGAAAGAGAAAAAAGTATTTGTTTGATTTAGAGTTGATAATACAGACGGCTTTAGGATTCCCTTAAACGATCAGAACTGTTCGCCATAACTGCAAGACGGGACTTTGGTATCGTCACGCTGGCCGGAGTCACATGCATATTCCCGGGAAAATTAGCGACGCGACATTACACATTCGTCATCCTGCGCCTGACACTATCACCAAGGGAAGTAAAGGAAGTGCGGCGGTTTCGACGACCGCGCGCGGAATAACCAGGACCTCTCGTCCGTTATTTCAACATCCGCGTCGTCGTAAAAAAAAATCGGAGGTCTGTCGTGTCGCGCCGGATCTCGCCGCGCTTTCACGAGAGTCCTATCAAAGGAAAGGGCCGCCGAGAGGAATCCTGATGTACAGTCTATGGAGAGGGTGCACTGAAATGTCTCTCTCATAAGATCTTCCGGAATATCTTTTGCCAGAGCGTATATAAATACATTAGCGATATACGGGGCTGTTGCGTCGAATAATTTAAAAAAGCGATAATCTTTTATATATATTTAAATATAATTATCGCTTTTAAATATATATGTCTACATACATATATATATAGTATATGTGTGTGTTTGTGTGTGTGTGTGAAGAGAGACCGGGGAGTTCAACAGCCGCGTTAGCATGCGGAGGATGCGCGGCGGTTATGCGCTTTGAAGACGAAAAGAGTCGGGATGACGGTCGGTTACGACCCTTCACAGACCGCTTTGCTAAATAAAGATTATTTACAATAGCGCCGTTCTCTGCGATCCACCAGTGCCAGTGAATGATTTTAAATAAGCAGAAAGCAGATATGATAAGAATCAAAATATGTAGCTTAGTATTCGAAAGATAATTCACAGACTTGTGAGTCATATTACGATTACGGTTTTATCGACGCGACAGTATTGATGTGCGATTTCAACACGAAAAATAATAAGATTATTGTTTTGTTTATTACATTACATAATTAGCCGCCAAGGCTGAACGAAGTTTAACCCTCTACTGGCAAATAGGGTCTTTAAAGACATCATCGATATTTATTGTATTAATTTTGATGAATAAATTTAAATTTACAAAAAATAAGCAAAACACAATTCAACTTCTAAGATGGTAAAAATTCGTTGAAGCTTTGACAGATATATTAGAATTTTTCAGATTTTTATATAATCCGGAACAATAAAAAATTTCCTCTGTTTCTCAATCGCTGACAGAAGAGTTAGAATTTATGTTGCCGGTGAAGGGTTACGAAATTTGTTTTAATTCCGCTGCGAAATAAGACATTATCCACTCGAAAATAGGGGACACGAGATTCCCATGGCATTCTAGTCGGCGCCGACGCGACAAGGCAGACATCTCGCGCTAAACGTTTTACCATTCTAACCACTCGTCTTTATCAGTAGCACAAACACGTGATAAATCTCTTAATCAAGCTGCTATATTTACAGACACCCAATTCTATCTCGAAATAAAAGCGAGATAATATGCGTATTATCTTCACACCTCCGCGATGCATGTTTGCACGGAACTTTCGAGATTCAATATAAAAAAAATACTCCGTCTATACCGTTTTTATCAAGATCAATCGCGTTTGACGAATTTCCTCTGCGATCGACGGTACATACATTTTGCGAGATGCACATAGGACGAAGGCGATGTAAAAAGAAAGGAGCAAGGTAAACAAAAGAACGCACCAGTGCAGCTTCACTGCATCCCCGGATGCGCTCGGCGCGGCGGCGAGACAATAACGCAGGACCACGTGTTTGGCGTTGGACGCATCCGCAGGGCGGGTGGCAGACGTTCCTGGCGAACCCGTCGATCGTCATCACGGCCGTCATCACCGCCCGTCGTCGTCGTCGCTGAAGGCGGCGCCAGGTAGTGAGGACCCTGCGCTTCTCCTCGCGGCGGGGCCCTCTTTCGTGGCCTTCTCTTTCTCACGCGGCGCTGCGACGAGCGTGTTGCGCGCTCCGAGACATGAATGGAATGCTTCCTCCGGCGGGCGATGCACGCGAGAGACGGCTACGGGTCTGGGTCTGGAATGGAATGGGCAGAAAGGCTCCAGCACGGGTCTGGCCCAGGAGTGGGGCCGACGATCGCCGGGCCCTTTGCAGGGCTCGACTTAACGTCAGGGCTGTAGCTATCTTTTGTGTCGAATCATAAGTTTAAGCGTGACTGTGCTGTATCAAAAACGTTGGAAACAGAATTTTTCTAATAGACACAATTGTAAGAGTAATATAACATAAATAAATGTAATATAACACATGATGTACATGGTATACAACAGTTACATTGTTCAGTGCGAAATTATGACATTAATGTTATGTTACTTTTAATTGGTGTTGACTGAATTGTTGTCGAGTTAAGTAATAAAATAACGAGAACATGAAGAAAATAAGATGTTGGAGTGTTAAAACTTGATCGCGAACGTAATGATAGAATCGATGGATATCTTCTTTTTTTTATTTGAATCATAGTATT